ATTTCTTGCCCGGTTCACAATGCAGGCAGACCTAATAAAGGTTGAAAGAGATTTTCTAATTTGTGTAATTTGCGTGATAGATGGAACTGGGCGTTTTTTTTCTTTTGAGCCCCTCAAATTATTACGGACCTCGCGTGTAGTGGTCGATTTATTATTACTATTTATTTATTACCTCATTTTAGTTCTCGTTTTTTCTTTGTTCGTCAGCTTTTTTTAGCAAGTTAATTTTTATCCAATTTTTTACAAATCACGTTAGCGAGGACTCACACTATTTGATCTTAACATTCTTTATTGAGGGATAATAATAAAACTGTTTTAGGTAATGGTTTAAATAATACCAATAAGTTAGGGATCAATATCTGGAGACAAAATTCATTTTTGTCTCCAGATATTCGGAGTTCAAAATATACTAAAAAATAGTTGCATTTATTTAAAACTCACTCTATATAAATACAATTTATTCTAAGAATATTCTATGAGTTTTTTTATTTTATACATTTTCCATTAAACATTTTTTAAATAAAAAAAAAGTTTAAAATAATTTTAAAAAGGGAGATCTTTGTATACAACTGTTCTAGCAGTTAGATCATTTATTAAATAAATAAGCAGATAGGCATTTTTATTAATTTGTATATACCGGGTGCGTCTCAACAGTGGCTCACTTTTTAATTTTTTAGTTAAAAAAACGAGATTTGGAATGTTAATATACGACATAAATTAGGATTGATTGACGTATTCAATTGTTTTCGGTCACTTCCGGTTTCACCGGAAATGACTACAACTTTTGATTTTTAAATAGGACCCCCGGTATTTTTTTACTTTATTCGATAGAAAATGTCACTCTGAATAGAATGACATATCATATGTCAACTTTTGACATTATCGCATATGGTTTATTTGAAATTATAACTTGCGGTTTGTAACAAAAATTTGACTCGAAATACCAAGTATGTGATATCAAATTATTCTTAAAAAATGCTTTTTCCAAATATGCTAATGAGCCACCCTCGTTCCATTTGAAAAAATTGAGATATGATTAAAAATACGATAAGACAAGACACTTGCTCCTTGATGAAGAATTAGTGTCTTTAACATAGCCATGGCACTCTAGATTGAATTTTAAAATACAATTTTTTATTAAGCGAGAATGTCAAAAGTTGACATATGATATGTCATTCTATTCAGAATGTTATTTTCTATCGAATAAAGTAAAAAAAATCCGAGGGTGCCATTTAAAAATCAATAGTTGTAGTAATTTCCGGTGAAACAGGAAGTCACTAAAAACAATTGAATACACCATTCAATCCTAATTTATGTCATATACTAATATACCAAATCTCGTTTTTTATCTGGAAAAATAAAAAAGCTATAGGGGTGAGCCACTTTTGAGACGCACCCGGTATAAGAAAAATATCGGTAACAAATCAATAACGCACAAATATGCTTTAATGCCAATTATGTTTATCTGCTTAGTTCCAAATACTTCAAACATCAGGTCAAGTTACTGCACGGCAACTTTGCTCAGTAAACACTCAGCGCAAACAAACAACAACTTCAACTAATACAAATTATGTAGTAAATTCTAATTACTTAGAAGACAAGATGGTAAATATTTCATTATCGGTGTCGAGGCTTTGCATTAACTCCTTAACAAGTGCCAATCTATATCAATAAATTACTAAATCGTCTAGGCCCAGACCCTCCAAAGTCGAAACATCGTCCGAATAAGTCATTTAAGTATCTTGGTAATTCCGAAAATTACCTTTGATTTTGATAGTAAACAGCATTGTATATATTAAATTAAATGATAAAATTTCTGATATAAAATTTGAATTTGGTGAACAGTTTTTTCTTAATAAAACACTAAATCACCATAATACACCAAAACACTTTTACTTTTACACTGGACGCGAGTTTCGCTAACCAATTTCTCAGTGGGCACCGAGTGGGCGTGGCAAGATCTAGCCAAGCGAGTCAGAGCCCACCGAGCGTAACAGTTAGATTTCCGTCACTAGAGTAGTAGGAACAAAGGAATTGGACCGTTGTCTCTATTCATACTATCTTTACATTTATTAATTCTGATGCTTTCATATGCATCTAATTGCCTATAATTTGAGACTTGTTTAATTCATTTTAAATTATTAAGATCTATACAATGTTCTTCATTAACAATATGTTCGGCAACGCAAGATTTATCCGGTCTACTATATCTTATCTGAGCTAAATGTTCTTTAAATCTAGTTAATATTGATCTTCTAGTTTGGCCCAACATATTTCTGATTACAATCTTTACAAGAAATTTCACAAATACCCGACCTTTCCAGTGGAGGTGTTTTATCCTTTGGATTACCTAATAATTGTTGTAATTTATTATTAGCACTATACACAAGTTTATAATTGACATTCTTAAAAAATCCTTTTTGACCACGGGATAACTCTTTATCAAACGGTATTGAAAAATATTTTGACGTATCTTTCTCCACTTGAAAAGTCGAATTTTCCGAAATCATTAACCTATACCTACGTTTTCTAATTAATTTATCAACTAGTGAAGGAGAATATCCATTACACTCAGCTACATTCCTAATGTAATCTCTTTCTATTTGATATCTTTCGTTGGAAAGTGGAAAACTAAGTAATCTATGAACTAAGAAATTTAAACTAGCCATTTTATGTTCATCACTATGATATGATTGATTAGGAATATATCTGCGTCTTTTTTTGGAAATTTTCAAAGTAAATTAACTCGGTTATTATGGACATATTATTATGGACCATAGAAAAACTGTAAAGAGAAAATATGTTTCTTTTATTGAGCTTTACTAGTCCTGAAAATATTTGCACTTATTTAAGACTCACCCTGTACGTGTTACAAAATCTATAATGTTAACAATAATATTAAAAATAAGATTTAATATATTTTGATTTTATTATCAATATTTTCTAAAAAAATGATATTTTACTAACATAATTAAATGGAATAAGGAGAAATATGTAAACAGATATATTATAACAATTACATTTTATACGAATATCATATTATACCAAAATAAACAACTAACTGTATGCAATATTTTGTAATATTAAATAACGTACACGTAACATTGATACGTTTCAACATTAAAAATTATTGTAAACTGGAGCATACATCGTATTATATCCCAATTTTTAAGTTAATTTATTAATATTAAATGGAAAATTAATTATATTTATTTCAAGTAAATTTAGTTTGATATATTTTTAGCAAAATGTTACCTGTCTATAAATGTATAAGATAATAAATTGCTATTTAGGTTATAAGTCCGGTAAATTGATTTTTATAGTATGAGTGAGATGTTCTTTTGTGGCTTTCAATTATAAGGTCTGTGACGACTTTTTCTGTCATCACTCAAACAGAAAGAAAAAGGTATCCGTTGCTCAGGGTTAGAGGAGAGCTGGGTTCGTAGGTTGTTAAATAATAAAATAAAAGTAATAATGTATAGGCTGCAAAGATTCTAAAATTGATGTTAAGTATTCAAATAGTAATGGTCAAAGACAGTAAAAAGGGCGCCACTTACTTTGGGTATGAAAAGGTAAAGTAAGAAACCAGTAAGAAAATTTGATCATGAAATAGCTAAAATAAAATAATCAACAGCAATAAGGGTCTATTATGTTCATCAAGAATAAAATCAGATATAACTATCCTACGTTGAACATTTATTTAAAAACGAACACAATTATCAATCAGTTTAAACCCAGTTTCAATTATCCCAATGAAATCGTTAGTTGCTTTAAGTAAACTCAAATTTAGTTAAAGTTCTCTTCAGTATACTATACTACGTAATATATAAACAGGTGAAATTTATGTAAGTACCAATACGATGATGTTTCGAAACAAATCGTGTACAATAACCTTCAAAAATGAATCCGTGTTAGCGATTCTCACATAAAAGATCATACTGAAGTAAAACGTACCGTTAAGGACAAAGCATGACTTATAATGTTAACTAAAAGGTAAATTTTGACTATAATATATGGAATAAATGACAACAATTTACAGAGATATTCAAAATATTATCTCAAAGTAAAAAAAATTTAGGGAATACCTTGTGTGTTGAACTTAGAACTTATCTGTATTTTTTTTTTAATTTATGACGTAGTGAACAGGTAGGCAGGCAGTCTCCAGACTAACGGAAGTGGATGTAGACTCTTCGATAGTAGCAGGAGTCTTCGATATCAGTAGAATCAATGTAGAGTCATAAATACTGTCTCAAAAGTGGTTACTCATATGCCAATTACTTATACGTCAATTTCTTATACGCCAGTTACTGGTCTGAAAATCAGCTGTACACATTCCAAAATATAGCCAAGCTATATGCTGATCCAAACCAGTAATGCACAATCAAACATTATCAAAATAAATAAAAAACGGGAATAATATGATCTTATTCCAGGAAAAGGCCAAAAAACACGAACTAGGCTCTGAACAGTATATTCTACAGGATTTCAAATCTCCACCTTTGGATACCCGTGCCTTTACTGTTAGGAAAAGTGTTTCAGAAAGCCCTTTTTCTCTGAGATTCGTCGGACGCTGAACCACGCGTCTTTTTCTGATCTCCATCTCCCGGAAAAAGCCTCCTTCCTCCTTTTCGCAAAACGGAAGTCTTCGAATTGACAGGTCATATGACCAAAGGCAATTAAGTGAACTCTATCGTCTATACTGAATGAAATTTGTTTTTATGGAAAGGAACCGCTACCTGTACTGAATGAAGTTTAACATCTAGCGAATAGATGGCGCCAGCAATATTAAAATTTGGAATTTTATAAAAAGAAAAATAAAACGCTACAGGTCTAGTCAGTTAAAAAAATAACAAGACTAGCCTTTTCCAAACAGATATATGTATGAAGAGATGTGTTTTATATTAAAGTATGAAATAAAAGAATTTTATATGTCGATTGTAACAAACTATATACCAACCATTCACTATTCTAAAAACATGAAATATATAAGCTATACTCACTCATCCACCATGAGGAATTTATCTCCGTCGGATCCGACGCAGCGACCCTTCGTACTAAGTCGGGGCCCTTCGATAATGACCGGCACGCGAACTCCGGACTGAAACCAGGCACCTTCCCATTTCTCCGGAAAGTAACAGGTTCCTGTAACAAGTAAGAAAAAGTGTAAAAACTGTCGATGATTAATGAAAGGAGGAATTTGAAAGCAAAAACATTTTTATTTGGAATTTAAGTTGGAGATGAACGATGCCGTGATTTTAAATCACATTGTTGACTGATTGTCTATACCTCTGTGGCGGATTCATCTCTCCAAAAAAGTTTTATGGGTATTTTGCCACTAGAAGAAAATCAACGAAATAAAATTACTAATAAACAAATTTGCCTAACGGACAAAAATATGCTTAACGTTTCGGGAAGTACATATATTTCTTCCCGTCGTCGGAAGCAAAAAAAACACACAAAAACAAAAAAGAAAAAAATATTTCAAATTTCTAATTTTCATTATTCGAGAACGCTATAGTTTTTTTTTAAACAGATACGTCTATAAAAACCGTTGACGTTCTGTTAAAATGACATTATATCAAGTAAACTTCAAAATTAACAATTGCTACCTGATAACAATTACTTAATAAGGTAAAACCAAAAAGATTCAAACTTTCTGTATGATTTTATTTTTTAATTTGTGTTTATTTTTCACATAATGTTGATTTATATTATGTTCTTTAAAACCCAAGAAGCGATTGCTATAGATTACTAACATCAACAGATGCATAAGAAATACATTTATTTTTATTAGATTATATTAAAAAGTTTCTTTCAAAAAACCAAATCATAGACACAATACACACAATGATAACAATACACAATATATATAATTTACAATTCCCTAGATGCAAAGCGTTTCGGAAGAAAAAATAAGAAGGATAGGAAAAGAATATAACATACGAACATCCTTCAAAGCACAAAATACACTTAGATCCATTTTACCACACACTAAACCAATAAACACTGGACAACAAACTAAAAATGTAATATACAAAATATCATGTGAATGTTATAAATTTTATATTGGTGAAACATCTAGACCCTTAAGGTAAGTTGAGAAAGGGTAATTTTCACAAATCTAAGATTATAATGAAAGAAGCGATAGCCTCTAAATGATTTTCTTTAATTTTAAAGAACATAACATACATAAAAATTAAAAAATAATAATACAGAAAGTTTGAAGCTTTTTCGTTTTTGGTAGGGCAAGAAAAAAATACGGGAAAGCTTAATTATTAATAAAGAATAAAGATTTAAGAATTTATCTTTTTAAAATCTATAATATATAATTAATAGTAAATAATTTCATGCCAAATTTGTATCAAGAAACACGTAAATAAAAAAATAGGTAATTTTTATCACAATTCTATATTTAATGATACACATTTCTTTCTTATAATACACATTATTTTGTTAACAGCATCATACATTGTTTAACGTGTTTTTGCAGCGATTGGCGTTGTTATAATTTTAGTTTAATAGATTATTCTTATTAAAAGTCAGTTCAAAATGTTCATAATTCTTTATAGATTATTTAGTTCAAATTTATAAAAATTACATTCAAAATAATTTTCAAATATTCAATAATTTTAAATGGCTGGTTTAGGGGATGTGTGTTTTATGCTTAATACTATTCTAATTAAAAGATTGGGGATATGACGACTTCGTCATTTTTCCATTTCTGTTAGAAGTAGAGTGGGTAAATTATTTGAAATGAATAATTTACCTTGCTTAAATTGGGCGTTACCACAAACTTAAATAATTTATTCTGAATGTCATCATAATTCTATATTTTATGATATAATATAATAACTAGGCTTAATTTTTCTACTCTTTTTAATATAGATTATTTTTATGAAGATAGATAGATATAATGCCCGGCACATCACAGATAATTTTCAAAATTTTCAAGATTCTTAAATAGCTTGTTCAGACTATATACTGTGTCAATTTTAAAACTTCCCACCCTTAATATCTTTCTTGCAGTTAAAAATATAAAAAATCGGAAAGACACGTTAATTTTATTTGTGAATGGGACACTTTAAATTAATATTTTTAGCCTTTTTCTTTCAACCCCCTAGGAGGGGTTGATGTCACCTTTACAATGTTAAATGGGAATGGGGGTCAAGTGGCACATCGTTTTAAAGGGCGTTTAATTGTTTTTTCAGTGGTATCCTACTTTGTTGCTTTTAGTCCAGAGGTTTCCGAATAATCGCGTGTCAAAGTTGCAGAAACAATTAAACATGCCTTCATTGAGATTTTAGTTTTCTGGCTAGTGTTTACACATAAATTACTGCAATGGGTCTTCTTGTAGTAAAAATGATTAGAAGATTAGGTGGCAACATGGACGTAGCCATTACTTTTTTCTAGGGGGGTCAAAATACTAATAAACAGAAAACATCATAAATATTAACGTTTCTTTTCTCAAATTCGAATGAGGTGGCAACTTCCAGGAAGGTATGGGTGGCACGTTTGAAACTTTGTTTCGGGATTGGCAAAGTAACCTCAAAAAATTAACATCAGAAGTAATCTAAAAAATAGTACCTACCTAGTTAATTTGCGTTTATTCGATGTCTTATCACTCAAATTCCACAAAATGCCTTGCTATTCTATCAACAAATTCTAAAAATACGTTGTTGTCTTAACAAAAAAAATGCTCTGCAAATCTAAAAGATAGCTAAAAAACTTAAAACAGGAATATGACTATTCTTAATTCGCTTTTGCTTGTTGGGCTGTTCAGTGATAACTTTTATTAAGTGCATAAAGTGTGAGAATGATTTTTTCTCTTCAAGGAAGAACTGAAATTATTTTCATTTATGGAGAGGTTGGAAGGTGCGCACGAAGAACGGTACTGGTTTTCAATGAATGAAATCAAAATCGTGAAGTAAGTCACAGATATGTGCTGGATTTGGTGGCGAAGTTCTCCGAAACTGGTTCGGTGAGTAATAGAAAAAGAAATCACCTACGAGTGATGAATGAAGGAGCTCAAATTGAGGTTTTGGGATTATTTTCTGCAGAGCCCACCAGCTTCTTGGGGACAGTAGCACAACAGACAGGAATATCACACGAGACTGTAAGAAAAACACTGAAAATGCATAAATTCCATCCATACAAAATGCAGATACTTCAAGAACTCTCTGACGATGATTTTGATAGAAGAATAGAGTTTTGTGAAATCATGATTCGCCAAACCAACGCCAACCCTAACATTCTGCCGAATATCTGTTTTTCCGATGAATGTAGGAAATGTTAACAAACAAAATTGTCGATATTGGAGTGACGAAAACCCGCATATTTTCGTGAAGGACATACACAATATCTCCAAAAAGTTAATGTTTGGGCTGGTATTCTTGGAAATGCCATTATTGGCCCTTTATTTATTGAAGGAAACTGTGTGATCTTGTTGTGATTGAAGGAAAAGGTGATCTGTATCTTCAAGAGACTATTGATCTTCTAATCACACAAGAGCTAGAAACTCAAATTGATGCAGAGGGTAATCCAGTTTTACAGGAGGATTTGTTAACATTCCAGCAGGTCCGTGCTCTACCTCATTATTTTCTTCCGGTCCGACAGTGACTAAACGAGAGATTTCCGGGTACATGGATTGGCAGAAAGGGACCAATTGAATAGCCTCCAAGATCACCTGATTTAACACCATTGTCCATTAGACTTTTTTTGGGGACATCTTAAATCCATTGTTTATAAAACACAACCTACTGATATTGATGATCTGAAAATGCAAATGCCGGTCAATTCCCTGTGAAGTTTTCCGAAATGTTAGAGAGGAGTTTAAAAACAGACTTTATTATTGTTTACAGAAAAATGGAAAACATTTTGAACAACTTGACGTGTCTTTCCGATTTCTCATATTTTTAACTGCAAGAAAGATATTAAGGGTGGGAAGTTTTAAAATTGACACAGTGTATATCTTGATTAATAAGATTATTGCTATTATCAGACCTCTTGAAAAGTAACAGTTTCCACAATAAATTAAAAATAAGTGTGAAAACTGGCAATAATTAATGAAGGGTAAAATTTGACAACAAAACGTTTTAATTCAAATTTAAAATTAACGCGAAAATATAAGCGGCTTAGTGTTTTATTATACCTAATGCGAAAAACACAGAATTAAAATTGAATGAGTGTTTAATTATGGATAAGCAGTAAAAGAGAAAACGTTAATTTAAACATGTCGGGTGTTTCTAAAATAATTTAATAGGGTGTTTGTAAAATAATTTAATAAAGTTTGTAAATTCGATTTAATTCCAGTTTACTAAATTACTGTTCTGAATGTTTCGAGCAAGAAATCCGATAAAATAAAAAAGAAAACGAAAAAAAATAACGTAACAATGATAAAGAACATTGTATAGATCTTAATAATTTAAAATTAATTAAACAAGTCTCAAATTACAGGCAATTAGATGCATATGAAAGCATCAGAATTAATAAATGTAAAGATAGTATGAACAGAGGCAACGGTCCAATTCCTTCAAGTTCTTTGTTCCTACTACTTTAGTGGCGGAAATCTAACTGTTACGCTCAGTGGGTTCTGACTCGGTTGGCTAGATTTTGCCACGCCCACTCGGTGCCCACTGTCAAAAGAAATACATAGAGATTAAATACCATACATTAGTATCTGAGAATATCTTAATAGGCATAAGAAGAATGCTCATATCCTAATTTCTATATATTATTAGTTAAAGATTACTGAAACAAAATTAGGAAAAAAAAGAAAAGACAAGTTTGATAAATAGCCCTACTAAAAAGAAAATAAATACACCCCATAAATCCGAACACAACATACATCTTTAAATTCTGGCTTGACGTATCTAACAAGAAAGGAAGGAAAACAAAACGAAACGAAGAAATTCCGATTGGCGCCGTTATTCTCTTTAGAAATATCCGCCACGCCATCTTTCCCACAAATAAAACATTAGAAAAAGCGGGGTTCCGCCGCTCTCGCTTCAACTAAAACTTTCTTGTCATATCAAGAAGGCCATAAATAATTTTCAAAAACAAGCTTCAACTGGCATCGAGGTCAGACCGTTCGAGGCGGAGAGATGGCGCTGGCTCTGTAAATCATAAGTGATAAGAATCTGTCGTAGGTCGCCGATAGATTAGAATTTCCTGGAGGCAGGTCTTGCATTAATGTTATTCGGGTATAAAGGGTATCCGTCCTGATTGTTGTTTCAAATTTTAGTTCTTCTTAGGACTTCATCGAGGGGTGTCTCACTTGGGTACAAAATGTACATGTACTGCCAAAATATTATTCTACTTCTAAGCGACTGCCAATGACTGCGAAGAAGACTGCCTATGACTGCCATGTAATTATTATAGGGACTGCCGTAAGACTGCCAATGACTGCCAGCGAATGCCAAGGAAATGTACATGTAATTCCAACAGTGAGACACCCCTCGGACTTCATCATTTGTTGCATGCTCCGTCCAGGGTATGCGCAGCAATCGGCGAAGTGTCATTTCGAAAGCCTCAATTCTGTTTATTGATTTTACCTTAAGTGGCCAAGTCTCAGCGCCATACAACATCACAGGCCACACATACGATTGAATTACCCGTATCCTGGTATATAGCGGCATATTTCTATGCAGGAGTAAATTCTTTAGTTTAAAGAAGGTTGTTTTTGCACGGCCGATTCTTCTTTTAACTTCCTCATCGCAATCCCACAGTTCATTTAGGGAGGCGCCAAGATAGGTGAAATTTGTGACCCGTTCGATGTTCTCTCCATTGATGTTAAGATGAGTGTGGTACTGGTGTCTGCTGATCACCATCATTTTAGTTTTCGCAACGTTAATATGGAGCCCAAACTGTTCACCGCATTCGTTCAGTTTATTTAGCAGAATCTGGAGGTCCTCAAGGTTGTTAGTCAGAATTGCGGTGTCATCTGCATAGCGGATATTATTTATTGGGATGCCATTGACTTTA